CACATACTGTCTCTTCCTATGTGTGTCTTTGTTGTCTTTATCCCTACCCTGCTAGGATGTAGGCTCCATTTAGGAAGAATTTTTTATCTATTTTGTTCACTGCTATTTTCCCATCATTTAGAACAATGCCTGACTCATAGAAGATGCTCAGTAAGAATTCATGGAATTAATGAATGTTAGCTTTAGCCTGTTTAACACTGTGCCTCAGCCAGCTATAAACTGTTATTTGTACATACTCATAGAAGCCTAGAGGTTATGTGTGTGTATGTATTTATGTATACATCTGTGTGTGTATAAAAGTAAATTAAGGCAGTCCTTGATTCTTATTGTAAGAGACTATTATGTGTATTATTCTTTGTGTTTAAAAAATGTAACTGTGTAGCGACAGTCTTTTGTGGGTGTCTATTTTCACTGCCTAATTTCACTTCAAAAAATAGCGCCATTTCTCATCCCTCAGATATGAATGCTTTAAATAGTCACATATTTTTAGTAGAAAAAGAAGTCCCAGATTAGTTCATATTTCTAACTTATACCAGGTTTCCTTGTTTTATTGCAAACCAAAAATAATGCAAATAAACTATATTTGTTGAGCAAATCAAACTGAAGTTTAACACTGTTGTTTACTATGACTCGTTTGAGTGTAGGTGTCCTTTATGTTGTTGTTTTACAACAGTGTTTGCTTACAGGAGGCCCTAGTTCTTAGCCAGTATGTTTGAAACTGAACTACTGATATATTTTTGTTCTTTTTTTGCCAGTAGAACTGTTGGATATTCAAATCTCAAGGTTGCTGATTTGCCTCATATCTCTTCATTGTTTTCCACGTTGGTCCATTGGTGTGGGATATATGAGGTCTGTTTTCTTTCTGGGGAAAAGCCCTGGAGACTGTATACATTGAGGAGCAGACATTGTCTGTACAATGAATGGAGTAATGAGCTACTGTTGTTTATTCTTCTGTAATATAATTGGTTGAATTCAGACAATAGTGTAGCATCTGTTGTTATACTATGCAGGGAAATGTCAAAACAGAAAGCAAGCAGACAGGTGGATTAAAGGGAGAGAATGAGGGAAAACCAAGAAATATCACATTAAGTTTTGATTTAAAGTAGGTGAAAAGGAATAATCATGACAAAAATGATAGCACCAAAAACTGTCATATGTTGATCACTGTATTACGTATAGCATGAGGATCAATGCTCAGCATTTGTCACTGAGTGCTGACCAAGTGTCAGCATTTGCTAAGTGACGTCAGGGACAGGGCCAAGATGGCCGATTAGAAGCAGAGGCTCCCATCAAAAAGAACCATAATTAGCGTGTGAATCCTGCATCAGCAACCAAAGTATTCAGATTCTCTCATCAGAACTGACTAGGCAGCTGGCGTTATCCACGGAGAGGAAGGAAGAGCAGTGTGGTGTGGCGGCCCACCTAAAAACATTCTGCATCTTATGGAAGGATGCTGTGAGGAAGATGTTACTGGCTCTGTTTCTATGAGGAAACTGAAATTCATAAAGACTGTGATTTGCCTAATTCCCAGGATTTGAATGCCTGTCTGCCATACCCCAAAACCTATGTTTCTAACCATAACATTGCATTTAATTAAAAATTTTTAAACTGCACTGTCAGAAGTCAGAATACTGACTTTAAGGGGAAGTAGTTCCCAGGAAAGGGTATGCTTCTGAGATACTTGATCAGCATTCTGGTTTTACAGATATGTTGACTTTGAAACTTTATCAAGTTGTACACTTAAGATTTGTGTACTTTTTCATATGTGTGGTATACTTTAATAAAAACTTTAAAACAATTACAAAATACATGACTTTGAACAGAAAGGATAAAGCTTTATTCAATACAACACTGACTCAAATTTTGAAAAAAGTTTCAAATATACTTATATAAAATATGCCTGAAAAATTAAGGAAGAGTATCTGGGCGATGAAAAAGTTTTGAAAATAAATAGTAGTGATGGTTGTACAACATTGTGAATTTATTTAATGCCACTGAATTGTACACTTAATGGTTAAAATATTTTAAAAATTAGTGAATATAAACAATCTTGGTGATGGCTATCTTAATGGTGAATCTACAGATTAGTTTTAATGTTTTTCTTTTAATCTATTTTTGCAATGAATTTATATTACTTTTGTAATTGGGAAAAATGTTTTATAATCTCAAAGATATGCTTGTAAAGAACCACCATTGTGGCTGGGCTCAGTGGTTCACACCTGTAATCCCAGCACTTTGGGAGGCCTAGGCAGATGCATCACTTGAGGTCAGGAGTTTGAGATCAGCCTGGCCAGCATGGCAAAACCTCATCGCTACTAAAAATACAAAAATTAGCCAGGTGTGGTGGCACGCGCCTCTAATCCCAGCTACCCAGGAGGCTGAGGTGGGAGAATCGCTTGAACCTGGGAGATGGAGGTTGCAGAGAGCCGAGATGAACTCCAGCCTAGGTGACAGAGCGAGACTCCATCTCAAAAAAAAGAACCACCACTGTTAACTGAGAAATAGGTGATCCCATTAACAGTTTAGAAAATGTATATAACTCTAATCCACAGAGGTTTATGCTTAAAAGCAACTCATGGTTTCCCTTTAAGGGACACATGTGGAAAATTAATCTGAACAGTTAATGCAAGGAGGAATCATACCTCAGAGAAAGGAGAAGTAAGATGTTTAATTCTTAGTTACTAGAAGTAGAGGCTATGAGATTCACATTCTTCTAGCATTTATTGAACACCTACTGTGTGCCTATAATCATACTAAGCACTTTCACCTACATTATTTCAGTTAGCATGTCAGTTTATTCCTTCCCTTCCAAGGGCATATTGAGCATCTACTTTGTACTATGCACTACATTTGGAATAAGAAGTAATACATGCTCCCATGCCATTATGGAGCTTGCAGGCTAGTAAGAAGGCCAGGCATTAAATAAATAACTATGGTACTATATAGTGAATGCTGTAATTGGCATATCAACTAGCATTTTATTTTGATATACACAGGTTAATCCATTCATTTGGTTACTAATATATGATAATGCTACTGAAATAGCTTAATAGTTGGAACTATTCAGCTGAAACTCATTGCTGTCACAGAACACCAATATCAGGTAAACTGCCACTCATGCTATCAGAAAAAAGGGCAAAAGTGACTGAAAAAAAAGCAAAAATATATTTTTAACTGTATTTCTTATGTCTCCATTTCTGGACATCAATTTCCTCACATAAAAAATGAGAGTATTGGGCTGTTTGACAATGCAGCCCCTTCCAGATCTGATATTCTGTGTAGATCTCTTCCTTATAAGAAAAGCAACTGTCACTGAAGCCTATTGTGTGTCAGATGCCATACTGAAAATTTTATATATATTGCCTATATAATTCCCACCTCTCTAATCCCCTATAAGGTAGGTGGTTATTCAGTGCCTCCAGAAGGAAAATAACCTCAGTCATAGGCGAGACTAGCTTTTTCTATACATTGCAGAAATTTTGAATGATTTGAAAAAAATACTTCAGTATTAGAGCCAACCAAATTCACCTGCATGACACAAATTACTTAATTTCTTATCCATACTTGTGTCTGAGCCAACTTTTTCTGTTGGTTATTTTAAACATTTTTTAACAGATAATTTGCATAGGTCAAAATAGGCATATATGCAGAAAACACCAGCTGTCACCTCTTCCACCTTGTTTCCCCTACCCTCTGTACGTTACCATTTTTGTTTCTTTTTATTTGTGTAAGTTTATTACCTCCAAAGAACCAGCTTATTTATTAGCTGACTAGTTTTATATTTCTTGTTTTCCTAAATTATTTATTTATACTTTTATTTTATTATCAGCTTTCCTTCCACTTATTTTATTGGGTTTTTTTTTTCACTAGTTTTAAAATTTTTTTTGTTCCCAGACACTGATAATTCACTAGCTTTTAAAATCTAATTCTTAATTCACTTATTTTTATTCTTTAATTTATAATGGCATGAGAATGTTAAGGCTATGAATTTCCTCAGAGCACTGCTTTAGATGAATTTCATGGATTCTAACATGAAGTCTTTCTCAGGGTTCTAGACAAAAAAGGTTTTAGTAATTTTTATAGATTCCAATGTTATTAGGGACCTCAGAGACCATCTCCTAATGGAATGTCACAAATGCGAAACAATGTAATACTAAAACCTGGATTCAAGCCCACGCTAGCCATAAGGCCTTCCAGCAGTTTACTTCACCTGCTTAAGTCAAATGAAGGGTTTGGTCCATCTGTAGGTCCAGAAATCAATGACTAAGATTTGGCCAAATCCCATAGCGAGTTAGTGGCAAAGCCAGAACTAGGACTGTGGTCTTCTTCTACCAATAAACCTGATATTTGAAGTTCTTTCCATGTTTTAAAACTTTTCTTTTTTTGTGGCAAAATATATGTACACTAACTTGCCATTCTTAAGTATACAATTCAGTGGCATTAATTGTATTCACAGTATTATCCAACCACCACCACTATTTCCAAAATGTTTTCATCACCCTAAACAGAATTTCCCCATTCCATTTTGACATAAACATAATAATCCAGTATTCTACAAACTCTGCAGTTAGGTCTACTTGAAAAATGTATTTCTCATATAAATATATTTCTGTGTGTATGTGTCTTTTCTGAATGCATCTAATAGCTTTAATTCATACCCTAGAAAGGTATCAATTGGGTATTTGATATGAATGTCTTTGATCACAAATATCTGAGCCCTTCAGTTAAAAAAAAATGCTTTTTCTGTGTAGTTTCCTATATATTTAATAATATGTGTCATTAAGGTGGAATTTATTTTAATTACTTGCCTATTGGGCTAATATTAAGAAAATGAAAAATACATGATTCTATTTTTCAAGCATTAGGCTTGGCTAATAAATGGGGCAGTGACTTTTCTATGAATTTCTAGAAAGCAGCAGCTTTTTCTCTGGTCTCTTCCTCCCCACTCTCCATAGTCCAGTCCTTCCCACATTTTAACACCTGGTTTTTGCTCTCCCTAGGCCATCCGGCTGTCCTTAGAGCAAGCCCTGCCTCCTGAGCCAAAGGAAGAAAATGCTGAGCCTGTGAGCAAACTGCGGATCCGGACCCCCAGTGGCGAGTTCTTGGAGCGGCGTTTCCTGGCCAGCAGCAAGCTCCAGATTGTCTTTGATTTTGTAGCTTCCAAAGGATTTCCATGGGATGAGTACAAGTTACTGAGCACCTTTCCTAGGAGAGATGTAAGTTCCCATACCTATCGCAGGAAGTATATCCCAGTGGGAGATGTGCCATCATTAAAGCTGAACAAAGTAGTTCAAGAAAAGTCCTATGGTGCAGGCAACTACCAGACATCCAGAAGTCCTTCTTTGTTCTGCACACCACTCTGTCCTTAGCCTTTGGAGAAAGTATGGCTTCCCAGGCCAGCAGACATGTGTACCCAGTAGCCTATGTAAGAAATTAGGTACAGATCTTCCTTCCTACCTGTTTTCCCTATTCCATCATTCCAGTCTTTGCCGAGGTCTCATCTGTATTCCTCAAATGAGATATATTCTGTAGACCTCAGAATATACCTGAGAATTGTAAGTTTAACAGCTTAACAGTTAGATATCAGGGTCAACGAATATAGGTTCACTAAGAATGACTCATGCAAAACAGAGAGTATTTTGTGATTTGATAGTCTTACTATACCCTGGGAGGTTACAGAGGGTGACCTGTATTCACTGTGTGCTTGCATTACAGCACAATATTTGATAGTCTCTCATAGTATTCTGGGGCAAAGTAAAGAGATATAGATGTGTTAGATTCATTGCTGATTAAATGGTTGCGTCCAAAAAATGTTAACCACCATTTCCTTGTAGGGAACCAAGAGGCTCTGTATTTAATCTTTTATTACTTACCATATTTATTAGCAACCTACATGAAGACTTTATCAGATTTATAGGTTATGAAAAATAAGATTCAAGAAAATCTTAAAATACTGAAACTTACACAAAATGAAGCTGCAGAAATTTTACAGAAACGTGTAGAAATAGATTCCTTTAGTAGAGGTTATGGTTGAATTAAGCTGAATACACATTAATAACATGTTGTGGCTGCCAACAAAAAAGCTAGCTCCTGTTTTAGAGGTGTAATCCCAACCAGAGGTTAACTTAATGGTCCTGTTTAACTCTGCACTAAGATAAACTACCCCTGGGTAATGGGTGCACCAAAATCTCACAGATCACCACTAAAGAACTTACTCATGTAACAAAATACCACCTGTTCCCCAAAAACCTATGGAAATAAAAAATTTAAAAAAAAAAAACAAACTACCCCTGAAATAGTCTTTAGGCTTCACGCTGAAAAATGAAGCCTGAAGAAATAGGAGCAGGGCTGGTAGGAAGGTGAGGGAGCTGCAAATCGTGTCATTTAAGGAACATTACCTCTAAAGAAGGAAGGACCATGGGAGATGTGATTGTTGTCTTCAGCTACTTGAAGGCATGCCTTGTAAAAGAGGGATCTGATTTTTTGAGGCTCCAGGGGCAGAACTGGGACCAATGAGTTGAAAGTTACATGAGACAAAATTTGGCATAGTGTAACAAAGCATTTTATAAGAAAGGAATATGTTGTGTCGTGAAGTGTTAATTTTCCTATCATTGGAGATTATCAAGTACTACTCTTTTCAGGAATAACGGATATATATGGAGAGGGATTCATCCCTGGTATTCCTGCTTGATATGGGATGGGACTTAGACTTCCTTAGCTCTAAAATATACAGTAAATCTTCTGTGATTCCATTATGATCTAGGCATAGTAACCTAGCATACAAAAACCAAGAATTTCATTAAGGCACATCTGAGTCTCTCACATTGGCTGTCAGGTTTACAGGATAGAGAGAGAAACTAGTAATATCCCCTCTGGGGGGAATGAGGATCTTGCCACTTATTTCTAAGCCCAGGAGACTGTAGTGGAACCCAGGTGCTGACTATTGTTCCTTTTTTCACTGGTCCTGCCTCCTGCTCCAAGGTCATTCCCTTTATTTGTATATAAGGCACACAAACATGCACAAGGGAACACAGGCCTGCATATGTTCTTACCACACAGCCAAGTATGAAAACTACCTTAACTTCTGTCACTGAAGTTGAACTCTCAGTGTGTGAACATTTAACAAAGAACCAATATCAAAGGGTTCAAGATCAGCCTGGTTCTCATACTTTATGTTCTGTGATGAAAATCTCACCTCAGAGAACTTAAAAAACTTAGGAGCTAAGTTTGCCCTTCCCAACCTTTAGTTTTAAGTCACTCCCTTTCTGAATGGGTCTCGTCTTTAAAAATGGAAGTACTGGAAGAAATAGACTTTCTGCATTTTAAAATTAAACTTTTTCTTTCAAATTAATTTTTAAAGCTTATTACTGACAGGGATGGGGTGAAAATATCTTAAAAGGAGCTAGGCTTTTTGATCACTATTAAGAACCTCTTTCCACAGGGTGAAACTCTGAACTGTGGAAAGTTGCTGTTGAAAGGAAACTGGGGAGATGTGATGTGAAATGCAGAGTGTTCTTGGGCCTGTGACTATCTCCCTGCAGTTGCCAGCATAGTGCTTCATACATAAGCATCAGTAACTGTTGTTGAATGTTAATAAGCTCGGACTCCCCTAATCTCTGGTTCCAGAATGAACAGAGAGGCTGGTCCAAATGAGAACAGATGCTCTAGGCCCACCCAGATTCCAGACTTAAACTAAGAAAGCCCACCCAAGACTCTTTAGGCCTCCTAGAGCCAGGGGTGGGGTGAGAGTTAAAGGCCCTTCATTCTTCTCTGAATTCTCTTTCAAGTCAAATGACTAGTGTTTTTGCAAGGCTATTCTGTAACAGCCATCTGTGTGTCCTAGGATTAGGATCTAATTTGTAAAAGTCATCTTAAATTACAGCCAAACTAAAGACTGTTAAAAAGCACATCTTAAGGCCTTGCCTTTTTAATAACAAATAATATAAGCCTTAACTCTAGGAGTCTTAATTGTGTCTTCAGCCTTTTCTCCACAAAGCAGAGACTGGTTTCTCAGCAGAGGAACCAGTTAAGTGTTCTTCTATACCTCCCATGCCTGCCACCCGCCCCCAACCAAAACAATACTTCATGTTAAGATTTCTCAGCTGTCTAACCATTTAGTAAATGTCTGCTGAGCATACTTCCCTGAACTGAACACTGTAGGACAACCAAAATAGCCGCAGACATAGGCCTTCCCCAGAAACGCTGATTCAAGTTGTGGAAGCAATGAGTTATTTGGTTTTGGGGTGTGTGTGTGTGTGTGTGTGTGTGTGTGTGTGTGTGTGTTTTCCCCAATTTTGCTAATAACAGTTACCAAGAGAAGGAGTAGTATTAATTTCCAGAGCTCTACCTCTTGGACATGTTAGAGCTGTGTGAACATCAGTGGTCCATTTGCCTTACTTGGGCATTGCCTTGGAAATGAGTTAGTTGAGTCCTAAAAGCTGTATAATGATATTCACCCTACTACTCCTCCTATAGGCCAACTCCTGTCTCTGAGTTAGAGTAAGGGACTGCTGCCAGCTCCCCCAGCTCCCCTCCAGACCTACAGTAGCCCAGACATAGGCCCTTCCCAGAAAAGCTGATTATCACTCATGCCACTTGGTAAGAGGTTGTCAGTATCCCCCAGCCTTCCTCTTCTGTGCCACTTCCTTATCTTCCCTTTTCTCTTCTCCTTCCTTTTCTACCCCTTCCCTTTTTTCCAATCCTATTTTACCTGTTTTATCTTCTCCCCCATCTTTCCATTCTTCCCTTCTCCTTATTTCTTTATCCCACAACTCTTCTTTCTGCCTCCTCTTTTTCTATTTTTTGCCTACCCATATCCACATCCCTCAGAGGAGCTCTATCTACGATTGGAAAGTGAGATCTTTCAATTTATAAAATGACTGGAAAGCACTAGGAAAGGAGGATGAAGAATGGCAAGTGAGCTCTAAGAGTCCACTGATAGCCCATGTGTCTTGCCACTGATATAATCACACAGCCCCCGTTCTAGCCTAGAGAACATGCCTTTTTCTAGATCTATAGATATGAATCCCCAAACAGACAGACATGCATTCAGGAATAAACTGTTATATATCTAAAACAAAGTAATGAGGGAATTTATATTTTGCCCCAGCTTTCTAGGTTTTTTTCTCTGTAACTATAACTCGTAATTTTTGTTTCTCCCTCTAAGACTTAAATGAACAGGAGAATGAGTGTAAACAAGCTCCAGCAGCGTTTTTCTAGAGTAGACCTTCAGTAAGGTTTTGTTTAAATGTACTGGGGGAAAAGCCTTTCAAATTTGGGATATACAAATTCCTTTCTCTGTCACCCATCCACTTTTATTATGCTAAGCACCAAGCTAAACACTACAAACACAGTGAAGAAAAATAATGGCATGGATCTAACCCTTGTAGAATTTACAGTCTGAATCCAGAAGCTACAGCTAGATGAAGTTTGACTTGACTTCATCCGTAACACGTGGATACTATTTGCCACCATAAGGAGATAGAAGAAATTTAATTCGCATTTAATTCATGTATTTGTTCTCTCATTATAGGAAAACATTTGCTGTGCAACCTCTCTGTTTCAGCCTTCATACCAGATGCTGGTGATACAGAAATTTTAAAAAAATTGTTGCTGACCTTGAAGAGTTCACATTATAGTAAAAACACACATCTAAAGCAAATTGCATTACAAATTACACCCACAGTTAGAAGGATAAGTAATTTCAGCCAGCAGTGATAAGGGAAAGTATTACAAAGGAAGTGAATTTTACCTGATCCTTGCACAGAGAGATGTTCAGTGAGTGGAAGCAGAATAGCAAAGTCAGAAGTAAATGTTTCAGTCGTAGTTAGTCTTGCATGTGCATCCCACTCCATCATACTGAACACTGGACAACTTACTTGACTCTGCCGAACTTTCATTTCTTCATCTTTGAAAGAGAAATGATAATATCTGAGATGGTCATGGTAAGAGTTATATAAAGTGAATATAAATTACTATATTCATAGCACATAAAACAGTATCTGCTATAATAATCCTAAATAGAGAGAGGCAGAAGAGGCGGGAAGGGCTTACAGTTAAAGAAAACGTGGCAGCAGTGAATTCTTTCTCTAGAACAGTGATGGATATCAAATTTGAGTTACAAGTATCTGGCTGTAACCCAGGTTTAAGAATATATCATTGAAATCTTGCAAATATCTGATATTTGCAAAGGATCTCAGAGATGTGAAGGCCAGTG